AGTGGATGGGAGGGGATAGCCTCGCGTATAGCCTCTGCATCCTGAGGTGGATGGCTCACTAAGGATGTGATGTCAGGCATCTGGAGTGGCACTGTTAGGGCTTCAAGATTTTCACGGTCCCCAACGAAAGAAGGTCACCAAGCCAATGGGACCAAGAGTAAGCGAATGAAGAGAACCAGAAGTGATCAAAGCCAGTAAATGCGCCACATCAAGAACATCAAGTACATCAAGAACAATAGCAACAATGCAGAGAATATCTTCCTCGCTTGGGCCAAGCCCTGACAGGAAGGCGGTGAGGCCCTCGTGACCCGTAAAAAAAAAAGCATTGCAGCAAATGAGGCGGCACGGTGGCATCCGATTTTTTTCCCTTTCCCTCTCTTCTCTCCTCCCACCATTCTTGTGATTTCTTCACATACATCAATTTTCTCTCTTTTCTAGTATTTAAAGACTTCTTCAAAAAGAAGTCTGTAGTACTAGCCTTCTGCTCAGCGAACACCCCACAGTTCGCTAAAAAAACCCCCCCCACCACAGATCACAGCGATACCTGTGATCCCCTCCTACAACCGCAATCATGGCTGACAAGGGTCTTGAGGATCTTCCCGAGGGTATGTGCTACGCCTTTTTTCGCAGGTTTCTGGTCCCTTTATCGCCTTTCTTCGCTTTTCGCTGTCTGCGGCCAGGGGTACTGGTTGGCAGACTGGTGGCGTGGCAAGAGACAGAGAGACGACATGGAGAATATTGAGGCTAACCTCGCTTTTTTCGCTGCCACAGGACAGATCGAGTCTAACTACGATGAGGTCACTGACTCCTTCGACGCTATGGACCTGAAGCCCGAGCTGCTTCGCGGTATGTCACCCTAAAGTCTTATCTGGTGGGGTGGAAGAAAAATACTGACGGTGGATCAGGTGTCTACGCCTACGGTTTCGAGCGCCCCTCTGCTATCCAGCAGCGTGCCATCATGCCCATCATCAAGGGTGAGTTACCTTTTATTCCTAAAATTATGGAATTTGCGCCTAACGAGGTCAGGCAACGATGTTATCGCCCAGGCCCAGTCCGGTACCGGTAAGACCGCTACCTTCTCGATCTCCGCCCTCCAGAAGATCGACCCCGAGGTCAAGGCCTGCCAGGCCCTCATCCTCGCCCCCACCCGTGAGCTTGCTCAGCAGATCCAGAAGGTCGTTGTCGCCATCGGTGACTTCATGTCCCTCGACTGCCACGCCTGTATCGGTGGTACCAACGTCCGTGAGGACATGAACGCCCTCCGCGCCGGTCCCCAGGTCGTTGTCGGTACCCCCGGCCGTGTCCAAGACATGATCCAGCGCCGTGTTCTGAGCACCACCGCCATGAAGCTCTTCATCCTCGACGAGGCTGACGAGATGCTGTCCGTAAGTTATACACAGTTGACATCGCGTATCTCAACCAGGTCTAACTTTCTTTCTACAGCGTGGTTTCACCGAGCAGATCTACGACATCTTCCAGCTCCTTCCCCAGTCCACCCAGGTCACCCTGCTCTCCGCTACCATGCCCCAGGATGTCCTTGAGGTCACCACCAAGTTCATGCGCGACCCCGTCCGTATCCTTGTCAAGAAGCAGGAACTCACCCTTGAGGGTATTAAGCAGTTCTACATCGCTGTTGAGAAGGAGGAGTGGAAGCTCGACACCCTGTCCGATCTCTACGAGACCGTCACCATCACCCAGGCCGTTATCTTCTGTAACACCCGCAGAAAGGTCGACTGGCTCACCGACAAGCTCACTGCCCGTGACTTCACTGTCTCCGCCATGCACGGTGACATGGAGCAGGGCCAGCGTGATGTTATCATGAAGGAGTTCCGTTCCGGTTCCTCCCGTGTCCTGATCGCCACTGACCTTCTGGCCCGTGGTATCGATGTCCAGCAGGTTTCCCTGGTCATCAACTACGACCTTCCCGCCAACCGCGAGAACTACATTCACCGTATCGGTCGTGGTGGTCGTTTCGGTCGTAAGGGTGTTGCTATCAACTTCGTCACCGCCGACGATGTTCGCATGCTCCGTGAGATCGAGCAGTTCTACAGCACCCAGGTCGAGGAGATGCCCATGAACGTTGCTGACCTCATCTAAACTCCTTAACCCCCTTGACGGCTTGATGCGAATCACGATCGCAGAATCTGCGTTAAAAGTGGCTTTCTGCGTTTTTCGCATTTCCGCCCGCAGTCAGGCTGGGAGGAGCGATCCAGGGCTGTGTCTCCGCGCATTGAGTTGACCTTTGTCGACGCCCTGGCGCGTTTTCTTTACCTGCTGCTATGGTTTCCTATGTCTTGCACTAACGGAGATGTGACATGTTTGTGTGCGTTTACCTTTTGCTACTACGGTTTTCTCTATCTTTCCTGCATTTTCCCACGTTTCCTTTTCCTCGTCTGTATCTAGTCCGCTCTTCTTGGTTAAGGATGCTGCTCTTATCGTACTTAATCAATAGATCGGGCCAAAATGTGACTTGTTTCTCAGGGCGTTGTCCTTGGCTATGACTTATGTGTTCCAAGACCTATGTAGTCATCGTACTAATTGTATGTTTTCTCGCTATCTGATACTGCTAGCAATCGCTCTGATGCTAGCTTTCTGGTGACTTTGCTATATATTGCTGCTCAGTATAGACGCTGGTTTTACTCCTTACACACGCCTAGTCTCTATATATTCCCATTCCCCTGGGGCATGCTATACTCAACGTGTCGCACGTGCTATATACTGCCAACCCCCAGCGGTCTAAGATGTTCATCGCCTGGTCACCATCAGCGGTATGGATGTACTGCCACTACTTAGCGGTCTTCCACCCTCGTGATCTCAATGCCTGCACGCGTCTCCTCTTGTTTATCTCCTCGACGCGACTTCATTCTCTCCATCTCTTGTGTCCTCTCTTATCATTTTCCATCACTCATATCTCCCCTTGATCAGGAAACCATATTCATTCCATCACTTCGAGACTGACCATCATCAAAATGTCGTCTCCTAACCCTAATCCTCTCACTGCCCCCATTACCAATGGCGTGGCCGCCACCACCACTCCCAATGCCTCAGACAACACAGACGGACTCAGCCCAGCCGCTATGCTGCTTTGGGCCCATGAACTCCAACGCCAAAATAGAGTCCTGGCCAAAGATCTCAGACGGGCCAACAAGCGCATCGACTCTGCCCGTGAGGATGTGTACAGGATGCGTGACTGCATGGACGAGCTAAACCTTTTCGCCACGAGCTTGGTCATGCACCAAAATGGCCGCACTACTCGCGAATACTTTGAGGCTGCCGATGATTTTCGCTTGTGGCAGTTCACCTTGCCGGTCACGCGGCCAGACAGCCGGTGGTCTGATCTACGCCATGTTAATGTATTTTTTGCTGGCTTGGATGATGAAGATGAACGGAGCATGTTCTATCACGATGGGCCTTGGACTTGGGATAGTCTTCGCGAGCACTTTGGTACCGCCAGTGATAATGACGTCGTGGTCTAATAGGGTCGCTCTGGAGATTTTGTTGGTGTAATGATGTGATGATTCAGTGTGTTCTTTTATCAGTGCGTTGAGAGACCTTCACTGTTTATTTTGTCTTCTTTATCAGGCGTCGGCTGGGTCTTTTGTAGGACCTTTTTTTCCTTCTGTCTTCATTCAACCTTTACACGCTCACTTACCTTTCCTTTCTTTTCTCTTAATTTCCTAGCCCGTAAGCTTGCCTTTTAACCTTCAAATTTCCGTGGTTAGATGAGAGGACTCTGAGAGCTGAACTCTATACCTATCCCGTGTCGTAGGATCTTCCTTGTTATTGGACCTTGTACGCCCTCCTGAAGCCGTATTATGCCTATTTCCTCTCATACAAGGCTCACTCCTGGTCCGTATTGAGCTTTCTATAATTATCTATTATTCCCTGTAATCTTTTTTTACTCAAACAGACAGGAATGAAGGAATGAGAAGATGAGCTCATAGGGCTCAGAATCTACCGAACTGAGATCATCAGCACCCTTTCTTGCGGTCGAATTCCTAATTATTTAGTGGTCACATCTCTCTTACGATATTATCACTGTTCGCCTACAATTGTTGAGATATCCGACCTGCCAGTCTAAACAAGATCAGTATAGAACCTTTCCAATATATATTTCGAACCTTGTGGCTCAAAAACAACTTCTCACCAATACAAACATATATAGAGATGGCAGTCGTTATCTTGTTATACCAATAACGAGAATTATACACTCAACGAATGGTATATTGACAATTTCGATTCCTTTGAAATGTTAGGGCACGGTCCAGCGGGAGAACGTCACGTGCCAGCACTCTACCCTAGCACCAAGGTATATATATTGCCACCTCATGCTTGTAGACCTCAATGTTGATCCATGTGTTTTTTTGATTAGCGGGCAAAGGACTTCTACGGGAGAGAGAGAGGGAGAAGAAGATGATGATTCTCTATAGCAGAGTAGCAGATTACCTAGTCCTATGGACTAACTTAGGGCAAGCAAATAAAGGAGGCCTGATCCCCGAGGCAATCATGCCATGCCACTAATTACTGCTGGGAATTGAACAGCTTTTCCGTCCGGGGCCTCGATGGGCAGCACCAGTTAAAATCGCATTGGTCTCCATTTTAGTGCGATTGGGGGCCATCGCTTATGCGCAGACCTCTAGGGTTGTTGTGATGCATGATTTTCTTTGATGTGTGTTTTCACTGCAATCTTATTTTCTTTGGCATTTTACATTAAGTGTAGATGAATCACAATATATTTCCCATGATATGTAATGAAAGCTGCATCATCTACGTTGTTCGGAACCGGGATTAGAGTTCCCGAATTCCGCTTTCGGGATTCAAGTCCGCGTTTGGCTGGCTCGCAAGACGGCAACCGTAGTCGGCCCGATTGAGGTGGCTAACGGCAAACCCCGGCCGCAGCACACTCTGGAGACTTGTTAAAAGTCAAGAAGTACCTTTTCGGCTTTTGAAAACGCAATTCTTTGTTCTCTCCCTATCTTCAAATTGCTTTGGCCTCCAAAATGGCCACGGAAATGCTGTCAGTCACGGCACCTGCCTATACCGACCCATCCAAATACGAGCTCTCGACAGTCTTATGTCCACACGTCACAGAAGAAAAGGATGTTGTTATACGGGTTCATGCAGCGAGTGTTAATCCTGTGGATGTGAAGAAAGCAGGAGGAGTTTTTAAGATGGCGGTAAAAGAGACGTAAGTAAATCCAGGACTTCGCATGTTGGGGCTTATTTTGACTATTGTAGGTTCCCATATATGATCGGCTATGACGCATCCGGAGTAGTTGTGGCGGTTGGGAAGGAGGTGAAAAGCCTGAAAGTTGGGGATGAGGTCTATACGAGGTTACCAGAGGCCAATCGAGGTAAAATACTGAGGCACAATAGTGATACACTCGTATCTTACTGATTTATGGATCTCAGGTGCATGGAGTGAATATGCCAAATGTCCAGAGCGCTACATTGCCCTGAAGCCCAAGAATCTCTCCTTTGATGATGCGGCCGCGTTGCCACTTGCGGGCGTCACAGCGCTGCAGGTATTGAAGAAATACGAGGGCTCGTTGGAGGGTAAAACAGTCTTTATTCCCTCTGGATGTAAGTTACACCTACCACTCCTCGGTATATTGATTAAGCTAACAATTTCGCGTTAAGTAAGTGGTACAGGTGCATTTGCATGCCAACTGGCTAAGAATGTGTTCCATGCCGGCAAAGTCATCACCACGGTTTCGACATCAAAGATTCCTCTAGTTCCTCAACTGCTTGGGGAAGGTGTTGTTGACGAAAGTACGCTCTTACTTTTCGTAGACGTTTTTGTCTGTTCACATTTGCTGACGTTCACTGCACAGTCATTGACTACACCAAAAGTGATCCCATAGATATCATTCCGCCGCGCTCTATCGACTTCATGTTCGATACCACAGGCGAGGCTATGGTGTTTCTCTCCCGGATGGTCCCTAAAACGGGACTCATTGTCTCCATTTCCACAAAACCCTCGGCTACCACTCTTCAAGCCTCGAGCGTCATGCAGCGGCCCGACAACCCTCGCATCCCGTTGGCGGGGCGTGTGTTTCTCAATGCAGGTGACGCAGTGCGTAGATTACGAGCATGGCGTTGGGATGTGGCGTATATGTACTGGTTCCTAGACCCGAATGGAAAGGATCTGGATACACTCCGGCAGTTTGTGGAAGAGGGGAAGGTGGTACCCATCGTTGGGTCTAAGGTGGATATGAGGAACATTGAAAAGGTGAGGGAGGCATGTGGATTAGTTTACAAAGGGAAAGGAGGATTAGGGAAGACTGTCCTTGAAGTTATTCAACCTTGAACAAAACCAAAAAAGTTTGCATGTCATAGCCTAGCTTTAATATCAATCAAGATGGTTAAATCCAAGCTTTTCAAACGAAGGTAGGTAGCTGCACAGTAGCTGACAAGTTCGGCTTCTACAAGACAGACATTCATACGGACTGGAATGCTCATCACTGACCCCAATCCTACCTGCCAAAGTTGCTCCCAGTTTCCAAATGCTCCCTTTACGTCCTCGGGCACGTAGCCACGCCAAATATTGCTGTCCACCAAGACCTGCTGGACCCATACTGCGCGGCAGGGTGGTGGAGATGGAGTTGCCAACGTTGTCTCTGTCATAATCCGCAGCGGGAGACTCCTTTCTTATTCCTAGCGGGTGCAGGTCTGTGTTGGTGCTGTAAAGACTTGTGACGCCGCCTTGTTTCGAAAACGCAAGAACAGTGAATAAAGAATATCCGAAGAAGTCGGATAATGTCTGTTCTAGTGCAAGCCAAACGGCAGTCTCCGTGCTGTTTGCGTGTAATTCAGTGCCTAATTGAGCCAGTGGAGCTAAACGTGCACTGGGAACACTGTCTGATTGAGAAGATGTTGGCATATTGGAATTGAATAGCGAAAGTCTGAAGATTACTAGCGCAGCTCCTGTGCCAGAAGACATGCACAAGACCTCCGGCGCAGGAAGACGTATTTATATCTCTAGGCGAGACGTTTCTGCCGATAAAAGACGTTTAAGTGACTAAAATAGTTTGCAAATTTGTTGAGATAGCGATATCATAACCTTGATCGTGGGTACTAGTACCCGTGCAACAGACTTCTTTGCCGGTCAGGCCGGACCTCCTCCTAATTGGTAGTGTTGGAGACATATCCCCGGTTTGAGACAGTCAGCTGCTATGTTCTCTGGAATTACATAAAAGAAAATCCTAGCGGAGAGCCGCCCAGGCCTGGAATATACCAGCACCCGCCGTCACGATTCCACTCGCTTTTAAGCCCCTTCCGATGTACCAGGCAGAGCTAGCCCAAGCAATGATAGCAACTAGAGCAGCCATAGCACGATTGAGTGGATCATCCAAATATTTTGGATTCTGAGCCCAGTGAAAATTAAGTAAGGCTAAAGCCGAGCTTGTCAGAAAAGAGATTTCATGTTCCATGAGCGGGAAAGAGAGATACCAGTAAGAATCAAATAGCCGCTACCCTGATACCATCCAACCGTGCTACATGTGTATGCAATATTTGGCAAGGCTTGATACTGAGGAAGTCGCTGGAATTGTCTTCCAGTAGCCTGAGGGAATTAGCCGATTTCCCTAAATTACATCGCCTTGTGTGGGTCTTCGAAGAGGACTTACCGCATGCTTTATAGCAACAAGTAAAGAGCCATATCCGGCGGCGTTTAACAGAGTAGGATTGGGCATTTCAATGGCAAGCAACACAGTAAATCCTTTGGGATCAATCGGAAAGGAAATGGAAATTCAAGTAGTGGTGTCAAAACAGGAAAAATATGTTGAAACACCTGATCGCATGGTACTTATCAATTCAAGAAATACCAAGAAATATTTCATGTGGACTTTAACCTCGGCAGATAACTATCAATTCTGCTCTTCTCATTTTCCGAGGATGATGGGTGGTAAGCAGGGCCGAAGAGCCGGAGAACGGGTGAACAATCGGCCCGCCTTGTAGAATTACCGTGTAATACGACTCCTCACAACCGTGACCCATCTCAGGGTCTACTAGAGTTGGCATAGGATCCATAGCTATATGCATGTTCTATAAACTCGTTCAAGAACTCCCCTAGTAGCGGCTATATTACAGCGCAACTTGAGGGCAAGATGGGAGGCGAGATATATGGAAAGTCATACATTTTTATTTTAGCTGCCCTTGAATATGTGACTAGTGCATCACGACGATCGCTTTGCAAGCTGCTGGCTGTCAACGAGACTACGGCCACCGGGTTACGAAGCAAAGAGACATTAGTCAGAGTGTCCTCTTTGCCTGGGAGCGTTGAGATCCTAGTCGCTTTCTCGATGGAGACTTTGTGTTAGGGCTTGAGATACTGGAGAAGACGCCAATACCATTCAATCGCTCCAGCCGCCAAATTTCTTTAGTAGCATCCAACCTGTCCATGACCGGCAACTGGATGTCCATAACACAGGGTGAAGACCGCCCCGTCGCCACGCACTGCCTCTTCGCCGTCCGCCGCACACTTCTAACGCACGTTCGGCTGTTTCATAAATGCTTCCAGCAGGTTCTGGTTGATAATGTTGTCTTCCAGAATGAGGACGTTGACTTTCGGCACAGTGCCGTCAATAATCAACCCGCCAAGCGCTGCACCTGGCGCGTACGACAGCCAGCCTTTCGATCCATCGACTAACAACTCAAGCCGGTCGCTTCATCCACTCCTCGCCCCCTCAGCGCGGCCGACTTCATACAGCTTACTATGGTGTCAGTCCGGCAAGACCTTTACTGTTTTGAACTTCTGAAGGCACACGCAGTTTACTCAGCTGATAGCCGTATACACATTTTGTCTAGACGTTATCGATTTTCAAACTATCTTCGCAATGAACGCAGCAGAAGTTTCATGTAATTTTCGAGTGCAATACATCAAGCTTGTGGAGCCTGCCGCCTTGTTAATTGTACATATCGTCCGAGAGCCATCATCGGGAAGTAGTGGGGGTAGAATGAATATCCCAGGTAAAAGTGGTTGGGAAATCCCGTCCCGGTGTGCAGGGCCTCGGGCCAGGACGCCTCGCCTTCATTGTCGACTCTTGTTTGTGTCCGCAAAAGATACCTCACTCCCTCTTGCACCACCTTTTCCGTAGGGGGAAGAGATGAAAGCAATCCCATGAGCGCCCACGCAGTCTGTGATGCCGTGGAAGGGCCGTGGCCCGCGAGTCTTGGGTCTTTGTACGACATGAGCGTTTCGCCCCACCCGCCATCGGGATTTTGAATCGACCTCAACCAATGAACTGCGGAATCTATGTGCTCTTTAACGGCGTCATCGCCTTGCGCTGTACTGGTACATCCAGCAGAGAAGTATGCCAGGCCGCAGAGTACGTTGCTCGTCCCGTATATGTAGTTGGATCCCCAGCGTCCGTACCATGACCCAGAAGACTCCTGGTGATGAGCAAGATAGGAAATGGCACGGCAACAAGCGAGATTCATTTGGTCGATTAGATCGTCAAGCGAATGATTGCTGGGGTCGCTGAAGGAGAGTTGCATGATGAGGCCGAACGCCTCTAAGATACGGCCGGTGACATCTGCTGTTGAAGGATCACACAGGCTTTCCATATCGCTGAATGGAATCTTGTTGAGGAAGAGCTTGTCGTTGTTGACGTCGAATGCACCCCACCCACCATCGCAGTTCTGCATGCCAAGAATCCACACCACAGCCTTTCTTACGGGCAAGGAGTTCTTCAATTTTGGATCTTGTTTGAGCATCGCCAGAATGGCCGCGGCAGTGTCATCGACATCTGGGTACCATCTGTTGAAATACTCAAAGCTGAAGCCACCAGGCGGAAGATCCGGCTTGTATATCCGCCAATCCCCCTCCGCCCCTAGAAGCTGACGACTGGTAATCCAATCTATCGCTGTTGATAGTCGGCCTTTGTATCCTGCATCACAGAGCCCGACGGTCATTAATATGGTGTCCCATACTGGCGACAGGCACGCTTGTATTCTCTTCTTGCCGCCGTCGAGCCAGGCGAACCGCTCAATCGCCTCTAGTGCGGACCGTACCGGCAAGTCGTCATGCTTATACCCCTCGAGACTCAATGCGAGAACGCCAACATGCATCGGGGGGAAGATCCCTGCCCAGTCCCCCTCCTCTTCTTGGTGCTCCAGAATCCATTCAACGCATTTTCTTCGGGCATATGCACGACTGGGGGATGATCGTAGACCACCGATCCAATGAAGTGCAATGTCAAGTGCAGTAAACGTGAAGGCAACGGCATCCGTTTTCCACAATCCCCATAGTGACTGGGAGTATGGGACAAGTTTATTGCTGGCGTCCTGCCATATTTCGTCTAGGAAATCGTTTGCTGCCGATTTCCCGTTTGGGAGAGGATATATTGGACGGTGATGGGCCACTATCAGCAACGGGACAATTGTACTGCGGGCCCATGAGGACAGTCGGTAAATGCTGATGGGCGCTATCGCGGGCACCAATATGAGCTCTGCCGGTAGCTCTGGCACCGCTTTCCATGGGAACAGACCAAATGTGGCCAAGTAGATACGGGTGAAGATGCGGACTTTGGCGACCCCACCTGCAGACAAGATGAATTCGCGGGCGTGGCGCAAGGGTGCCATGTCTAACTCCGCGCCCAACAGCTTAAGTGCGAAATACGCCTCCGTTGTCGTTGAAACATCACCGGGGTATCCAGGTGCAATAGCCCATGAGCCGTCCTTCTGCTGATCCGCTAAAAACCACGCGACCAGCTCATCTCGATCCAACGACATATCTAACCCCAGAGCCTGTCGCATCATTACATATTCAGCGGTGATGGTGGCATTGGACTTGAGCTCGCCGCACCAATGGCCATCATTGTGCCTGCGGTTAAAGGCGTATCGGGTGGCCAATTGGAGCGAAGAGCGAACTTGGTCGACGAGCCACTCATCCCTATAGTAAGGAGTGATAGACAAGGCAGGGGTCTTGCACGAGTGCTTTTCATCTGTGGTGGTACTTGTCTGAACGGCCATCTTAACGACTGGCCTTGGAATGAGCCGACTAGCAGAGGCAGGTAATCAGCCTGATATCCTGAGTAACGTCTCTCATTTGTGAGAACCGGGTAATGTCATTAATATAACGACTTAATCATAGGTGAAACTTTAGCGACCAGAGGAGAAGATTTCGGGCTAGACCTTTCACTATCGACCATTGGCCATCCGAGATATGGAAACATTAAACTATCTAACCCTCACAAGTGCTCGCAGGCTTGTAAGCTGCCAACTCGCAATGATACCTTTAAGCTTTAAGCTTCGGAGGTGATTCAATCATAAAGTTTTTACAAACCTTGCGCCACAGGCCCCACAGTAACATACCTGTGGAGTCATTGAAGGCTCATGATTGGTGGGCTCACGGTATGTCAATATCTAGCCGAGAAATAAGCACCGTGCTGATAAATACACTCTTCTTACAAGTGGTGTTGCATAAGTATTTGACCTCCAGTGTGGCCTAGGATCCACTTCTTGGATACAGCGAGGCAGAAACCTCCGAAATTCAATCCAATTTAATAGCTAGTATGCCCCCCTTTATATCCGATGATACCAGCCACGCTATAAGATTTAGTATCTAATAGATCTAGCGTAGGGTTGCTATTTAGTAGGTATATAAGGCTGCGTACATGCGAGCGCGTTGAAAGACGCGAGGTCTGGCATACTAATAAGTAGGCGGTATAAAGGGCGGTCAGGCCAGAAAGTTGGATCCCGAAGTACTCGAGGTCAAATACTTATGCAACACCACTGTAGATCAAGGAAGTACTATTGACCCCCACTCCGGAGATTATCTCCGCGCCCTGCCTGCTTCCACATCTTGAAAACTCAATGAGTCATGCATCTTCCAAAATATTGGACTTGCGTTCATCAGCGTGGCTGTGGTTAATGGAAAGTGAATGCTCCTGGCAGAGACAGTATGGTTCCAGCGCGTGGGCCAGGATTTCGGTACACGACGTGACATCAAGGATATGACCAAATGACACGGTTGTGCCAATTCTTCGAGATTGTTCTGCCACATATTGCCATATATTATCGTCTCCAGGCCTATGGCTATGCACGATAAACCAGAAATCCTTTCGAGGGGTGCCCCTTATATCTTGCATTCTTCAAAGCGGTGCTTGTGAGTCAATTCGGGATACGAATTTCAACATTACGGCCACTATTATGTTCCTTACAGAGGCTTGCGTGGCGACGTTATTAGCCATCACGCTGGTGTATGTGTCTATTCAATCATGGATCAGGCTGCAACGAATTCCTGCATCCATTGAGTGGGCTGGACTCCGAAATGAGGCTTTCGGAACTGTCAGAGCTTGCTTCCGCGAGTTTACATCTGACCTGGAGACTATTGCATCAGGCTATAAAATGGTTCGGTGCCCCGTAATTACCTCGCCTGACCTAAAACCAAAGATATACTAAGCTTCTTATAATAGTTTTCGAAGAAAGGGCGGCCATTTGTAATGCCTACGACAAGCTTTGAGCCGCACATTATGCTGCCCAGGGATTATATCAAATGGCTGGTCGACCAGCCAGAAGACATTCTATCCCATGGGCAGGTCCATGGTGAGAAGCTGGGGCTCCGTTATCTGTTTCCAGGATTCGATTACACCACAGATATAGCGCTTATCACCGCCATCCGTCTTCATCTGACTCGCAATCTTGGGAATATTCAAGGGGACCTAATCAAAGAAATTCGCTCCGTTACTGATGCGACGTTCGGAGTGGATGATCAGACTTGGACTGAAGTTAACCTCTTCACAGCCATGAATACGATCGTGTCCAATTCCAGCGGCTTTGTCTTGTTCGGAGAGCCTCTTTGCCGCAATGAAAGATTTATGCAGTCGATGCGAAGATTTGGGGATATATTTGGCGCTGGAATGCTTTGTGTGGGTCAGCTCACTCCCCGACTCTTTCGCAGGTTAGTTGGCTGCCTGTTTGTTATCCCAACGGCATACTACCAGACTATATGCACGAGATACCTTTGGCCGGTGTTCGCCGACCGATTGGAAAAGATGAAGCGGAAGAGAGTGGACCCGGCATTCGATTATAATGCACCAAATGACCTCATTACTTGGATGTTCCGCGCGGCTCTCGACGTGAAAGATTCAACCATTGAAAGCCCTAGACCGCTGGTAAAGCGGTTTACACTTGTGGTAATGTTCTTCAATCGCTACTTCCATTTTACTTCGAATCAGCTAGCTGATAGCATCTGTTCGAGGGTGCAGACATCAGGTGCTATCTCATCGTCATACGTGACCGCTACGAATATGTTGCTTGACATTTTAAGTTCTGATTCGAATCTACACTACTATCGGACCCTTCGTTCGGAGGCCGAATCTGTCTTCCCAACAACAGATCACTGGGCGCAACCAGCCGGTCTGCTGCAATTGTGGCATATGGACAGTACAATACGAGAAAGCTTGAGGAGGAGCCCCATTCTTGTGCGAGGTCTCTGGAGGGAAGTAATGCCAAAAGACGGGGTCACTCTTCCCAACGGGCAGCACCTTCCGCAAGGTGCTTGGCTCGGCGTTCCTGTTCCGGGAATCCACAACGATGAACGTTACTATCATGAACCGGAAGTTTATGCACCTTTCCGGTTCGTTCCTAGCAGCTTGGTAGATCGGAGCATTGCAAAAGGGGACGATACGGATGCTGAGAATTGCAAACCAGCCATTTTGACTATGACCAGTGATACTTTTCTTCCATTTGGATATGCGCGTCACTCTTGGTAGGTTTCTTGCGTATTCTCTCCCCATTGGTGACAGGATTTGTG